AATCTTCTTTCATTTCTTGAAATACCCTGGTGGCTCAGAGGGTAAAGCGTCTGCCTACAATGCGGGAGACCCGGGTTCAATCCCTGGGTCAGGAAGATCTCCTGGAGAAGGAAATGGCAACCCACTCCAGTACTCTTGCCTGGAAGATCCCATGGATGGACGAGCCTGGTGGGCTACAGTCCATGTGGTCGCAAAGAGTCGGACACGACTGAGCAACTTCACTTTCACTTTCATTTCTTGAAACCTGTGGTCTTAAAATTTGTTTGATCCCACGACCATCCCATTTGGCAGATTTATCAACAAACAAACAAATACAACCACTCTGTAGCCTAGCTCTTGTCTGCCATCTTCCAAGCACTGTTTTGTCCCTGGAGGGTGTCTCTGAAACTCCCACTGGTTGGATACTTGACTTGCCCCAGGGGATGCGCCATGTCTCTTGGTGGAGGTGGTTGTAATTGACTGGCTCTCATCCCACTTCCAGTGGTGGTGAATATGTCTCTAGAATATAGGCTATTGTTCCCTAAAATGAAGAGAAATTACTAAATCTGTATCACAACCAGTTTATGCAGTGAAACAACAAGGTTTCTTTCAGTACTTAAAAAAAAAAAAATTATTTAATGAGTAAAGAACCTGAACTTCGGTTCTCATTAGCATTGTTACTGATGAAGAAATAATAGTGGCAAAGAAAGATTGTCTGATAAAAGAGGAAATCCATATAATTTTCCATGCTGAACACTGTGACTGCACTGGAAGGTGGCAGAACCTGGATGTCTTTTCTGATCAGTGTCTTGACAGAGGATCCGCCAGCACCTTTCTCGCCACCATCAGCAGTGGCTCCATGGGCAGAAATGGTGATGACGTGGGTTTTATTTCCATGGCATATGGCATATTCTTGTCTCTACAAAGTAACCTGTCAGGCAAGACAAACTGAAACCCAGAGACCATGTGTTAGAGGCCACGTTCAGCGTCATGATTCTCCTTATTTCATGTCTCTTTGCTCATGTATCTTTCCATCATGGCACAGTTTTAGTTTTGTAGAACTTGCAAGAGCATTGAGGCCAACTCCTCTTTGGACAGGGTATGGATTCCTCAAGATTGCAGAGCTAGTTATTAGCAGATCCAGGGCCAGGATTCAGGCCTCCTTAGTTCCTATCCAAGCTATCTCACCACATTGCTATGCAAAGGAAGCCCTTAGGGAATGGGACAAAGGCACTGGGATGCTGTTTATTAAGGAGTAATAATATAATCATCATTACCACTGGCTGAGCGCTTTCTATGTGCCCAGCACTTTTCTAAAGCTTGCAAGTCATTTTAATTTCATCTTTACCAACAGACTCTTAAGTAGGTATCATTATCATCTTTTTTAAAAAAGAAAATTGAGATACAGTAGGCTTGATAGCTGGATCAAACTCACATGGTAAGTCATGGATTATAGATTCAAATCTGTATCTGTGGATTCTACAATACATATTCTTTTGATTTTTAAAGGTATTTTTTTATGTGGACCATATTTTTAAAAAAGTTTGAATTTGTTACGATATTGCTTCTGTTTTATGTTTTGGGTTTTTTTTGGTCACGAGGCATGTGGGATCTAAGCTCCCTGACCTGGGATCGAAACTGCACCCCCTGCATTGGAATGCAAAATCTTAACCACTGGACTGCCAGGGAAGTCCATATAATACATATTCCTAACTCCTGTACTCTGCTGCCTGTAAACATTCTTGCATGTTATACATAGTTGTGATCATTTGTTCATGCAGTTTTGTAGCCTGCTTTTTTCGTGAGGCATTACTTGTTATTAACAGCCATAAGCATCCTTGTTATTAAAAATTCTTCCTAATCACTGTATTAATAGCTTTAAATCTTACATCTCTTCTCTTTCTTTGTTGTCTTTTTTTTCTGTTTCTTTGATGTTCTCCTCCTATTCTTTTTACTCCATGTATTGTGTTGTATTTCTATGCTTTTCTGAAGTAATTTGCAGTTAGACCTCTTGATTCTATCATTACTGGTTGTTGCCTTAGTATTTTTCAAGTGCCTCTTTAAACTTATATTTAACTAATTATTCATGGCAGTAATTGGACAATGTCCCAGCCCCACTTCCCCACTATGTAAGATGTACAGTTTGCTTCCTTATTTCTTTTTTTTTCATGCTCTTTCTTAGTCTCTGTATATTTAACCAGAGATTCAAACAAAATTTTTACAACTGTATCATTCCTATCACAAGATGCGATCTCTCTCTTTCTCTCTCCATCCGTGTATCTGTCTACAAGTGTGTGTGCATGCATGGATGTGTGTGTGTTCTAAGAAATCTGTAATGCTTTAAACTTGAATGACTATAGAGATCACATGGAGCTGTCCGTCAGGTAGAGGAGGAAAAGGCTAGCAGCTCAGGTGTCACCAAACCTACAGATGTCCCTTTAATACCCACGAGCACACAACGCACAGTAGAAGCCTACGGAGACTGCAGAGATTTCCAAGGTAGTATGTAAACAGACAATGAATGTAGAAAGATAGAAGAGGCTGAGTATGAGACTGTAATGAACACCCATATTTTAAAGGCCATTGACAGAGAATAGAAAAAGTGGTCAGACTATTTGGAGAGAAATCGAGGGAAAGGAGCCATGCAATTCACTGGAGCCGAGAGTTTAAGGTAGGAATGCTTTGGAGAACATGCCTGGAAGGTGTCCCTAGATTTGATGCTTTAAGCCAGGGGGCACTTGAGGAAGAGCAGTACCACTGGGATAAGTAACATACAGGATACAGGGTTGTGGCTGAGGACCAAATACAAGATACAGAGGCAACCTGTTCCTTCTCTTTGTGACAGTAAGTAGCCTGAGCTTCTAGTACTGACTCCAGAAAGTTACCTTGGGCAATATGTCATTTTTCTGAGCCCCAGTTTCTCCTGAGGGAATATATTACATAGCATCTAGAAATAATCCAATTCTAATGCTATGTGCTATGATATCTGATAGATAGATATCATATCTTAATATCTGGTAGATATTAAGTTTTCTCCAACTAGCCAAGACAAATACTTCAAGGGGAAACAATAACCCTGAAGTGGTTCTCAATCATGAGCAAACTAAGGCTTAAAGGAGGTCAAACACTGGATTCCTGCATATTGCCGTTGATAACCTGGTTGTTCTGATATCTTAGTTTTAGTCATGAAAGGTTAGCAAATAGTATAACCTTTTAACAGAGGCTTCCCAGGTGATGCAGTGGTAAAGAACCCAACTGCCAATGGGAGAGACCTGGGTTCAGTCCCTGGGTTGGGACGATCCTCTGGAGAAGGAGATGGCAACCCACTCCAGTGTTCTTGCCTGGGAAATCCCATGAACAGAGGAACCTGGCAGACTGCAATACATGGGGTCGCAAAGAGTTGGGCACAGCTGAGCATGCATACACACATGTAGCTTTTTAATATCTCATCAGAAGTTTTTCTTCCCATCTGTTTGTAGATACATTTAAGCAAGTTCTCAGGAGCAGGGGTTATTAGCACCTGTCCTTGGTATCCATGTTAATTATGTGCCAACTGTGTATGATACTCGGCATATGCCTTGCACTTTCTATTTTGGTTTCTTCATCCTTAAAATGAAAATCATCAAATAAAAATGATTATAACAACCATCCAATTGGTACCACAAAGAGGGTTTTCTGAAACAGTTTGGCATCTTGACACCTGATCCTATTTGATGGGCTACCACCCCCATCACTGTCCCCTATTCAGAAACACCCCCCGCCCCTATATGAGAAATGGCAGTACATACAGAGGACGAAACCTTGACTGATCTCCACCCAACTCCAATGAAAACTGGGAAAAATTCAACTGGACTCCTATTGAACCAAATAGACTGACTCACCCCAGTACATTCTAAAGAAAGCCAACCAAGTGCAAACTAACTTTCTACAGGTAGTGCAGTTTCCCGAAGAGGTAGCCAGGATCTTCTGATCCAATTGTCTCTCTCTCTCTGTTACCGAATGAGTGTTTATTTCTAAATTCTGAGAAGGCTGCAAAGAAAAGGAAATGCCAGAGAGCAAAAACTGCTTGGGTTCTGCATCCATCTGGTTACCTGGGAAAGCCCACAACCTGGAAACATTTAAGAGGCATTAAAGATAACAGCATTTCCTTTTAATGTTTGAGAATAGCCAACAATTCACAAGAAAATTGCCTTCACATTTTAAAAGTGTTATACTATTAATAAATTTACAGATAAAATGTCAAAATTATAAATGGCTCAGGTGCTCTTCTTTTTAATTAATTTTCAGTCAAAAGAATTTGATTTAATCCACATGATTGCTTACAGTTTGTAAAATTTTGTTTGTATAATCATCAGACTTAAACTGTCTTGAACCAGCTCCTCTGGGCACCTTCAGCACATTGCTGGTACCAGTGGCCACTCTGATCTTTAAAATATTCCTCTGAACATTGAAATAGTTTATATATCCTTCTCTATGTTGCACTACTTGGGCAGCTCTTGAAGATAAGGGACTAAGTCTTATTTATTTACCTTTGTTTATCCTCTTATATCTAGACTAGAACCTTGTATGTCAGAACCGCTCAATAAATATTTGCTGGATTACTAAACTCTAAGGAGGGGTTAGTATTAATAGGATAATTTAAATACTTGCTCATTTGGCCGTATGCCTAATCTCTATGCCTTTACTTTTCTGTTTAATAACATCCCATTCCTCCTACTTTCTGAGGTACAAGCTAGAATCTTTGCTGTATAATGCTTGGTTCTTTAGAAATCAAAGTTCTTGGCTCAGCCTCTTGGATTGTCCTGCCTTTTATAGGTGCTGTAAATTTGATCACCATCAAGAGCTGTTAAACAACATACAGTGATAAAAATAGTTCCCTTTGCTGACATTAGGTGTTTTCTAAAACAACTCGATAAATTCTGGTCAACAGAGACCCTGTGTGATTTCAAAAGTCAGAAAGCAAGCTGTTGACACATATCTAGGTAGATAGAAAAAAAAAATCACTCTGTAGTTCTCAGAAATGTATCTTAGGTGCTTTTTATTATGACTAGTGGTTGACTTTGCCTTTACTCTCTGATATTATAATAGAACTTATGCAAGCTCACGAGGTTACAAGAGGCTTTGTAGGAGGTGACTTGTTTGCAAGGTGATGTATGCAGGAGGCATAATGGGTAGGGTGGGTGGGGAAGGTAAGTTTTGCGAGGAAGAAATTTGATTTTAAATTTAGGAAGAAGTATCGTGATGTTGGTAACCACAAGGGAGGCCCTGGCCTTAAAATAAGACCTGGAAGCAAGAACTACTGACAGTTCCTCTCCTTCCTTTCACTTTCTACTCTAATTCTAATTGAATATAGTTGTAAACTCCATTTCCTCAAACTGCAGTTTTTTCATTGTTCTTCTCTTTGTTGCTTGTCATATTGAACCCAGTCCAACTCAAACTGGAAAAACACACCAAACTGGAAGTGAAGAAATGAGGCATCTAGTTTTCTTTTGTGTTTATCCAGGCTCATAAACTTGAAGGAGTCAAGCAACCATTCTGGGGCCCGTGTCTCTCCTTGAAAAAACAAGAGGATTTCACATGACCTTTTTTTAATAATAGAATTATTTTTTCTAATTTGATTTTATTAAAGTATGGTTGATTTACAGTGTTGTGCTAGTTTCTGCTGTACAACAAAGTGGCTCAGTTATACGCATTTACACATTCTTTTTAAATGTTCTTTTATGTCATGGTTTACCCCAGGATACTGAATATACTTCCCTGTACTATACAAGTAGGAACCTTGTTGTTTATCCATTCTAAAAGTAATAGCTTGCATTTACCAGCCCAAAACTCCCAGTCCCCCTTCGCAACCACGAGTCTGTTCCCTATGTCTGTGAGTCAACAGATGAATGGATAAAGATGTGGTATGTATATAGATATATAATGAAATACTACTTAGCTGTAAAAAAAGAATGAAATAATACCATTTGCACCAACATGGATGCTATTAGCGATTATCATACCTAGTGAAGTAAGGCAGAAAGACAAATACCATACAAAGTCACTTATATGTGAAATCTAAAATATGGCACAAATGAACCTACTTACAAAGGAGAAATAGGTGCACATGACTTTTAAGATAACTCTGTCTCTAAAGCTAACAGACACCTTGATTAGTGTGTGAGGTGCTGCTATTCCTGCTATTCCCCTTGACTTCCCAGATTTTCTACTTTCGTTTCTGTTAGTACAGATCATTTTGCATGCACATGGTATTTCTTTAATTATCTTTGGAATCCTTTTAGTAGAGTTTGGGCTCTCTACTTTCATCTCGCTCACCTTTTATGTTCCTGATTTTCCTTACCTTCTAGGTCCATGTACAAGGTTGAGTCTTCATGTTCATCTACCTGCTGTTCTTTTGCACTTGTTTGGTTATAATCTGTATTTCCTTCCCCATCTCTCAAACCTCCCCATCTTCTCTCCTCAGCCTCTTTCCTTAGCAACCTTCCTCAAATAGTGTCTCTTATTCAAGATTTGCTTCAGTGACACTTCTTTCAAAACCCAATTTGAGTCATCCATTGTGAAAGCATCACTGTAAATTGAGCTTATTCACTGATAATCAAGAGCTGTAAGATTCGGGCCCCAGCTTTGCTTTAACAACAAGGTTATTAGCATCTTTGGGTCTTGTTTCCCTAATTTTGTGTAGTGCTTGTTGATAGGTTGGGGATGAGGCACATTGTAGAATGTACTCTCAGACATCTTCATGAGCAGGTAAAGAAGATAACAGTGAACAGGCCTGGGGTAAGAACATAGAGTTGAAGACTGAGGTTAGCTGGAGAGGTATTCCTTTATTTCTTTTAAAAAGTAATTTGCATGCCAAACCAAACATTCTTGCCAGTTGAATTCAAACCTTAGGCCACTGGTATGCAGGCTCTGAATTAGGTGGCCTCTATGGTGGTTTAGTAGCTAAGTCATGTCCAACTCCTGTGACTTCATGGACTATAGCCCACCAGTTTCCTCTGTGCATAGGATTTCCCAGGCAAGCATACTAGAGTGGGTTGCCATTCCCTTCTGTAGGGGATCTTCCCAACCCAGGGATCGAACCCAGCTCTCCTGCCTTACAGGAGTCACCTTGGCTGAGTCACCAAGGAAAGTGGCCTCTATGGTGTCTTTCAATTCTAATTCAGTCCTTGAGTATCTGTTTTTCTCTGACTGTCTCTGCTAAATGTGTTCTTGTATGTGTGAAAGAAAGTGAAAGTGAAAGTGAAGTCGCTCAGTCGCGTCCACCTCTTCAAGATCCCATGGACTGTAGCTCTCCTGAGGCTACTGAGGCTCCTCCATCCATGGAATTTTCCAGGCAAGAGTACTGCAGTGGTTTGCCATTTCCTTCTCCAGAGGATCTTCCCCACTCAGGGATTGAACCCGGGTCTCCCACATGGCAAGCAGATACTTTTACCATGTGAGCCATGAGGGAAGCTCTTTGTAAGATTTTTCTTAAACCACTTCATCTGTCTTGACTCTTGACTCATAAATTATTGGCTTGCATTATTCATTTTATAAGCCCTGATAACACCTACCGCATGCTCCTGCCTACATTGATTCTCAGTACAAAGACTGCTGAAATTTGCATTGAAAATGGCTAGAAGTTAAGAGTTGAGAAGACTTAGAAAAATAAGAGGGAAAGAATGGAGCAAAAGTATTTAACACAAAGTAAGAAGGCACTGTAATAGAGAGGCCAGTGCAGTAGCTGGTACCTGATAACTATACTGAATGTATTCTGTGACTTCACAGTAGGACAGTTTTCTGGAGCTGAGCTAGTGATAGCTTGGCCCAGTCTTTCCCAAAATGGGGAGCCGAGGTGGTAGACAGCACCCTTTTACTATAATAGCTAAGTGTTTTATCATGTGTTGAAACTATTTCTGTGTATTTTAATGTGTGATTTCCCATTTCTAGAAGTAATAGAGTTTTCTTACTAAATTTAGAAAAATATTCATTAAATTATAGGGAGGATAGTCAAAGGATTTAACACAAATCATGAAGATACTATTTAAACTACTAGGTTTTAAGAAATCCCTTAGGTTTTCAAAAGAAGAAACTGATTTGGCAGAGATGACGCCGTGAGCGATTGGCAGAAATGGGTTAAATCCCAGGTACACAACAGAAGATCTGAGGACTGGGTGCTGTACTCTGTCTGTGACTCGGGCCGATTTTATATTCCTCCTCTTATTCTGCTATGCATGTGAAAGCTGGACGTAAGCCAAAACTCCCAGGACTGTCCTGAACATAGCCGGGGATGTGAAACGGCCCTGACACAGTGTGGGTGTTCCATAAATGCATGACTCCCTTCCCCACATGGCAGCCTTCCTTAGTCACAGATCAGTTTTCTTTCCAGTCTTCTGAGCACACCCGTTTCTCAGTTCTTTCATGATTTACAGAATATTCAGATACATCTTACATTTGTGTTGCCCTTTCAAAACAGTTTCACCCACAGCATCGGTTTGAATCCTCCCCAGATGAGTAACAGAAAGCATTATTACCCCCATTCTCTTTTTACAAGAAGTAAGCCCAAGTCCCCATGGTCACACAGTGATTCAATAAGGACAGGGGCTCCTCACTCACAGCTGACTGCTCTTCCTTCTCTATTCCTCTCTCTCAGAAAGGAAAACACAGACTGATCTACATGAAGCTTAATTTCTGGATTTCAGTCCTATATTTATATTTCATAACACTGAACTCTTTCAAATTGATTTTCTTGTTTGTAGTGAGTTGTCCTGGGAGGCAAATGACTAACTTGTTTCAAAGAGAAAATTTGCCCACCAGACTCTTGTGCCATTTTTTGAGATTCAATACTTCTCCTGTCACCTCCCCTCCACTCGCCTCACATTTTGTCATGTCTGAATAAAATGACTCACATTCCCTGAGAGAAAGATGATGCTTTTAAAAGAATGCTACACTGGCAACCTAAGAGGCTCATGACTCTTCTAGGAAAGCACAGATTTATTTAGCTAAAGTGTATATGTGTATGTGTGTATACTATAATATAGTACATGGTGTATTTACTTTGTATATAGATAGCATGTGTATATATATGTATATATGTATGCATGTATACTGTAAGCAGTATTTTACATTTATGATGCTCATTGGTGTTAGCTGAAATGGCATACCTCTGCCTTTGTCTTTTAATGTCTAGGAGAATGCCAGAACTGGGTTTCGCTCATGAAATACAAGTCCTTTAAAGACTGCACCTTTCTGCCACCCTTTCCCTGATCAGGTGGAATGTTCCCAAGAACTTTAGTCTCTGCTTGTGCCCACTTTTTAATACATTTGTGTCAGCAGTACTACCGCTTTATTAAATGAAGCTGTTTCAATGTGGCTGGGAATGCATTAAGTGCAGCAAGCTTTCTAATCACAGCGAGCTGGCAGCGGCCGTGCTATCTGTAGCAGGTTACCCGCCACCCTTGTTTTATTAATGGGCTTCCTTTGCGAGGGATGAGACACAGTGTTTTCAGAAACCCATCAAATGGCACGGCCCTCAGCCATACAGTGTGAATGCAATTCTCATCTGCTGTGTCAGAGGACGTTCTCCCCAAGACTGTATGCATGGGCTTTATCTACCCAGCCCCGTTCTCTTACACACTGTGCGTTTTTGCTCTTGTACCCAAGTCCATTTGCTCATGGATGTTTTAGTGGCTCCTCTAAGCTGGTTTCATCTCCCTGGAAGTTGAGTCAGCTGTGACACACACAGTCAGCTGTGAAAAACAAAGTCATTAGAAGCTAAGAGAATGTGACCAAAACATGGCCAGAAGCATTCAAGTTTCTTCAGGAAACTCCTTGGGACTTTGTTCATATTACATCTGTTACCCCATTTACAAGAAACCCGTCTTTCTGGTTAGAAGCTGGCTGCCTATGCAAGTTATCTGTTAAACTTCCACACTCTGGCCATCCCTTGAAAGTGCTCAGTCAGCCTCTTACGTGAACAACTTCAGTAAAGCAGGATCATCTAGGTGTGGAGGAAAGCCAAGTCCATCATTGGAAGCTTAGAATTGTATCAGCACACTTCTTTATTAAGCAGAAACTTCAGAATTTTGCTGAAGTCAGACACAGGGCAGATTCTTGCACAGTTGTGGTTAGTCTGTTGATACAAGTTGAACAGTAACTGCAGGAAGCTAACCTCTGAATTAATAACACCATTTGTTGTTCTCTCCTGGGCTCGGAGTAGAAAATGTCCATCTGTCTAGAATGTCCAGTTTGCTCAAGAAGGGTCCTTTCAACAAACATTTTTTTTAGCTTTTTTGCTAAACATGACCTCACTCAAATTGAAACTATGACTATGACCTGAGATTTCCTTTTTAGTTAACATGGACATATCATGTTGAAAGACAGATCATTTATATACTCTGGAAAGTTCTGAGGTTTCAGATATACCAGTATGAGTCCATTTTACTCCTCATTGCAGCCTTCTCTTGATTCTGTGCTTCTGTTTCCTTCTTATCCATATTTTCTACCTCTTCTTAATTCTGAGATAGGTGGTTATATTTCAAAAAGCATGTAAAATATATGTGTATGTATGAATACATAAATGCAAATATATATACATATATATGATAATTTGGAGTCAGAACCTTAATCGTTAGACATAAAACTATCTTGTATTGGTTATGTTATTGCCAGAAAGTCATTTAATTCATCTTTAAAGTGAGAATAATAATGAGACCTACCTCAGAGCATCACCACAGGGAAGAAATTCTGAGATGATACACATGATGAAAGAACTTTTTAATATATGAAGAATCTTGTGAATGTCAATAGCTGTCTTTTTGCTATAGGAGAGGACAGATAGAAAAGAGGGCAATTCATCACATACAGTGGTAAAGAACCTGCCTGCCAATGCAGGAGACACAGGAGACACAGATTTGATACCTGGATCAGGAAGATCCTCTGGAGAAAGAAATGGCAACCCACTCCAGTACTCTTCCCTAGAAAATCCCGTGGACAGAGTGACCAGGTGGGCTACAGTCTGTGGGGGTCACATGAATACACATCACATTTTGTGGCCTGGGTGTGTCTACCTGTGTGCAGGGCAGGGCGAGAAGGCCAAAAGCAGGTCTTCAAAGAGGAATTTCAATGAATATGTGATGCATCGATCTGAATGCCAGCAGATGTTCCCAGACATGGATGTATGGGAGGATTCAGTGTGAAACCCACGTTTACTCTAACCCAGCCAGCCAGTTTCTGGACAGTGAGTTACTGTGTACGACGCAACTCAGTCCTCAATGAATCCTATGCATCTATCTTCTCTGGTATTCACTCTCGGGTGTGTTATGACTCTGCTTTTGGCATTCTGTCAGGAATAAGCAATAAATGAACAAGGAGACCAGAGGTCGGTGTCCATGAATATAGACACGCTCATGGTGAAATTTGCATTCTAAATTTTATTTGCATCCAGGAAGTGAGTCTAGAGTCCCAAGAGACAGTAATCCTTTCTGTCATAAAATTAACCATTGTCACATACAGTTGTATAGGTTGTACACTGCACAAGGTTAGAGTATATCAGGCATACCATAGATATCAGGGATTTGACAATTTTTAATACAATTTTCCTAAAAGGTCTTTTCCTAGGAATCTAATGTTTTATAACATGTTTCTAATAGATGGAAGTAAAGTAAGGTGCTCCATGGGCCAACTAAAAGAATAAATTTTTCTTGCTTTACAGAGTTACATTCATCTTGATTTGAGCTCTGTATGTGAACTCTTCTTGGGCAGAGTAGCAGTCCATTCTTCTTCAACTGCAGTGAGCAAAACTTTCTTGCAAAAATCTTTCAAGGTAAATCTTCAGGTTATTTTACACTTGGGGAACTTGCAGCTATCCCTAAATAAAAGTAAATTCAGCATCTGAAGTGTCAGCTTAATGTGTTCAACCTGTATTCATAGAGGCTGTTCTAAAGGAAGTAGAAGACAGGGTCCCCAGACATACAGTAGTGCCAAAGCAGAATGCAGTTCAGGGATTTGTTGAGTGTCTGAGACTGAGTGCCGTGGCAGAATTTATTACCAAAAGCAAGTTTGTGTGCCTGATGCCCAGTGAGGCCAAACAGCACCAAAATGTCGGAGTTTGGAGCAGAGAGAGGGTGATTGCAGGGCCATGCAAGGATAAGGGGTGGCTCCTGGCCCCAAACCCCAAACCCTCCAAAGCGTCTCAGGAAAGCATTTTTAAAGGCAAGGTGAGGGAGAGGGTAGTTGATTGTTGCAGACTTCCTGTTGGAATCCTTTGTTATTGAAGCTGTCTGCATAGGTCAGGTCACAATGTTCCTGTAACCTCCAGCAAAACAAATGTTATTCTCTGTTCTGCAACATTTTATCTCTATATGAATGGGAAGGAGTTATAACCTTAAAGGTCAGACTGTAGGTAACATTCTTGATTCTAAGCAAAAGCAATAGAATGCAAAGGTAAAATACAAAAAAAAAAAAAAAAAAAAAAAACAAAAAAACAAAAAATACAACAACAACAACAAAACAAAACTAAAGGTAAAAGAAACAGATCAATATGGAGTCAGATTTGTTCTTGCCTATTCAGTTCAATTCAGTTCAGTCACTCAGTCATGTCCGACTTTTGCAACCCCATGGACTGCAGCACACCAGGCTTCCCTGTCAATCACCAACTCCCAGAGTTTACTCAAAGTCATGTCCGTTGGGTCAGTGATTCCACCCAACCATCTCATCCTGTCATCCCCTTCTCCTCCTGCCTTCAGTCTTTCCCAGCATCAGGGTCTTTTCAAATGAGTCAGTTCTTCGCATCAGGTAGCCAAAGTATTGGAGTTTCAGCTTCAGCATCAATCCTTCCAATGAACACTCAGGACTGATCTCCTTTAGGATGGACTGGTTGGATCTCCTTGCAGTCCAAAGGACTCTCAAGAGTCTTCTCCAACACCGCAATTCAAAAGCATCAATTCTTCGGCGCTCAGCTTTCTTTATCATCCAACACTCACATCCATACATGACTACTGGAAAAACCATAGCCTNACTTTCTTGCTTTTTCAGTGATCCAGCGGATGTTGGCAATTGATCTCTGGTTTCTCTGCCTTTTCTAAAACCAGCTTCAACATCTGGAAATTCACGGTTCACGTATTGTTGAAGCCTGACTTAGAGAATTTTGAGCATTACTTTGTGAACATGGGAGATGAGTGCAATTGTGCGGTAGTTTGAGCATTCTTTGGCATTGCCTTTCTTTGGGATTGGAATGAAAAGTGACCTTTTCCAATCCTGTGGCCACTGCTGAGTTTTCCAAATTTGTTGGTGTATTGAGTGCAGCACTTTCACAGCATCATCTTTTAGAATTTGAAATAGCTCAACTGGAATTCCATCACGTCCACTAGCTTTGTTCATAGTGATGTTTCCTAAGACCCACTTGAGTTCACAATCCAAGATGTCTGGCTCACAAATGGGAGGAAGGTGTTGGTGTATGAAGTAGAGGAGCTTAGGTAGGCCTGATCAGGCAGGTGGGTGTCTCACTGAATCATCTGTGATAAATAGACCATCCCCCAGTTTCCAGACCTCGTCTGCTCTTAGGAGGGGCCCTGAAACTCTTTCTCATGCAATTTTAAATAGAAGGACTGCTTCCATTGAAGCATCTTTAGGGCACGTTTTCACAGGCATCACAGCCACAACCTGGAGGGAAGGTAGAGGGAGCCCCCTCTCCCACCCCCGCACCATGCTGGCCTCAGCTGTGAATGGTGAGGTGGCTAGTTACTGATAGAGCCTGGATTCCTCCACCAGGCAAGAAGACACTTGTTAAGTTAGGCAGGGCTGGCAGAGCCTTTGTGGAAAGGACTCTGCTGTAACCTCCTTTGTATGCATGTGTGCTAAACCACTTCCATCATATCAGATTCTGTGCCACCCTATGGACTGCAGCCAGCCAGGCTCCTCTGTCATGGGATTCTCCAGGCAAGAATACTGCAATGGGTTGTTATGCCCTCCTCCAGGGTATCTTCCCAACCCAGGGATCAAACCTGTGTCTCTTAGGTCTACTTGTATTGGCCGGTGGGTTCTTTACCACTAACACCATCTGGGTAAACTGCTTTACCTAGAGGCAATTAGTGGTCATTGTGAATGTTGTTGGCATCATAATTAAGGCTACAGAGCAGGAGATCCTGGGTGAAGGAGGAGAAGTACCTGACTAATGTCTAGTTAGCAGCATTATGTGTGTCAGCGCCAGAACTGGATGGGGTTCAGGTTCTGAAACCCCATCACTGCCTTTGTGTTGTCCTGGTTTAGTCTATAGAAGCTCCAGGTGTGCCTGGCTCATGGTCAAATTGGACCTTCTCAATTCAGGCAAGAACCCTGACTACTGATTTTTGTGCCTGGCAGTGTCTAGACACTGGATAGCATTATACAGATTGGACTGGCCCATTTTGGGATGTTTTCCAACTCAGACATCATCCCTAACATTGACCCCACTTATTCCACTGTTCACTGAATGTCAGGATTTTGAGAAGATGCAAGCACAGCACCAGAGAGAGAGAGAGAGAGAGAGAGAATTTCACTAACTGTGGCTTATGACATCTACAAAACCAAACTTTCTGCAGGAATTCGATCTTGCCCGGAACTTTCCCAGCCTCTGATATATACTGAAAGAGGTCACAGGGGCACCTGGGCTCCCCTGTACACTGCTATTCACAGTGGCCCTCCATCTTCTCCCATGAGCCCCTGCTCAGAGAAGGGGCTGCAGTGTGGTCCTAAGTGCCCCGTTCTGCCCCTCAACCTAAGGGTCAATCCACTCTTCAGATTCCCTGTGGGTCCCAAGGATGCACTTGAGCCATACTGAAACCCGGGAATCTCCTTTGCTACAATTTTGTCTCAAATAAGATGTGTAATAGACGTCCTAAACTTCTTTTCAGCACCTTGTGACAAAAAGGATTAAGCTATGACATAGAATATGCAGGTTTCAGGATTCATTCCTCAACTAAGTTACTCTGTAACAATGCACAGAGGAATTGATTCTTTCTCTTTACTAAAATTTCTCCTAGATAAATGAGAGAGCTGATAGGAGCATTAAGTGAGAGGATGGCTGTGCTGCTGGCTTGAGAATTAAAAGGCGTGTTTCATAACCTTTGCAGGAGGAAATGGCAACCCACTCCAATATTCTTGCCTGGGAAATTTCATGGACAGAAGAGCCTGGCGGGCCGTAGTCCATGGGGTCACAGAGAATCAAACACAACTTGGCAACTAAACAACACAACTTTATAATCTTAGACCACAATATCTATATGTGAGCAATAATAATGATTGCCTTACCATTTTTAAATCTTACAGTACAGTCCTTGAAAAGTACAGCAGTATAGTACAGCAGCTGGCATACAGGGGGTAGCACTGGGTGAACAGACAAGAAGGGTTACTGACTGGAGGAGGGAGAGGAGGTGGGAAATGGCATAGCTGAAGGATCATCAGCAATAGGAGATGGAGGGCAAGCCATGATTTCATTCATTCCTAATGTTGATTGCACACGGTTCTGGTTCCTTGTTGGAGACACTTCTATCTACCCTCTTGAAAAAAACAATCCAGTGATGTCTGGGTAGTAACTCCTCTTTTCTTATCATAGATGACATGGTAGCACTGGATTGCATTCTGAATGGCTGCTGCAACCTTCATGTATGTTCTATTTTTGAGGCTTGTGCCTAAAAAACTGAGTCTCCTCAAATAAAGAGAATCCCCTTGCAGTTCCTTGTGTCGTGAATCGCTTTGCTTCTCCCGTTACTTCTTCTTCCTCTTGTCCATCTTAATTCTTTCTCAGGGTCTCCAGTTCCATCAGGTCTTCATTAGTAAATTC